CGAGTAAATCAATAGACACAAATCCATAAATAGGAGTTTGTTAAGAACTCATGATTAAGATCATTCTATATATGACCATCGGTAGACTCAATTAGAATTTCTATACTTAAAGGAAATTATTGGAAATTCATATTGTGTCTGTGTCCCTATTCCACACAATCTCATTATACGAAATACACTCATTCAATATCTCACCATATTAACAGTGCGAATAGCACCGTTTCATTCTAAATGGGAATGACATGTATTAATAATGTTTTAATTAAAGATTCCGAACTTTAATTAAATTCATTATGAACAATGTTTTTTATTATTATCCTTAAACATTATCCTCTCGTAATAACACTTACATACTATGTTTAAGGTTACATAAATAATCACGGAATTTTCATTTGATATTCATAAAATATTCATAAATATATGCACATAAAATGATGAATAAACTCTTTTATTAATTAAATAATAAATATCCTATTACATCTCATGCTTTTAGGACACTATTCCCAACATATGTATAATGCATAAAGTATGTACATGGTACAAAATACAAGAAAATGCTATATAAGAAATGAGTTGATAAACATTTACCAAAGTAATAAAAGGAGTGATAATTCGTAGTGATTAGTAATAAGGCTAAAACAATCCCGATGGGGATAGTAAGGACCACTAAGTCTCTGGGAGACATATGATATTTACTTGGCCACAAGGTCTGTGACCACTAAGTCTCCAGGAGACATATGATATTTAATATTCATTTGGCCACAAGGTCTGGGACCACTATGTTTCTGGGAGACATATGATAATCATTGTGAAGGCCATAAGGTTTGGGACCACTGAGTCTCTGGGAGACACATGATGCTATAAATAATGGGCACAAGGTGTTAAAAAAAAGAAAAAATAATACAGCCATGACAATTGTGCATATAAGTAATGAAATAAAAGGTAACAAAGTGAATAATTAATGTTATACGAAATGGAAATGGAACAATAGGAAAGGCTAAAGTTAAGATGTGATGTTATATATTCAAATTACTTATTCATGCATATATTCTACTTAATGGGCTTTAGCTCACTTATTTATGGTGACGCAGATGAAGACACATTCCGGCATTAGATGTATATTATTTTGGTGGTTGGCTAGCGTCATCCTTAGTACCAGGACTTTTGTATATGGATGATGCTGACTTGTTTGAGGCCCTGAGTTACTAACTATTTACTATGCTCTTATTTTTGTTTGTAAGAACTATCGGATCTATTTTTGGGATATGTATTATACTGTACATATGAGACATCAGTCAAAAGAAATACTAAAATCATGTTTTTGTACCTTTGCACAAAGAAAGTCTTAAAAAGTTCAAATTTATCCCACATTTTAATGTTACCATTCTAAAGAAAGCTCAAGGTGAGTTAAAAACAAGTCTTAAAAGAGTAACAACACCTAGCATAACTTGGTAATTTTAAGGTTAGACTAGGTGGGTGTTACAGTATGACCCCCTAAGAAATTTTTTACCTAGTATTACTATGAGATTTTTTTAGGGATGCTTAGAAAAATGAAAGGATCGTTTATGCACAATTTTAATTTTTTTGACATCGGTTGCTTTTTTTTAAGGCAAAAAATAGAGAAAATCCTAGAAAATAGAATATTAATCCAAAAAAGGTACCGCTACTTGCATTATTTTGTAAAAATAATGTATGAATTTTAGGATGCATATATCCACAGCTTTTTACGAAAAATGAAAGAAAGTGAAAAAATGTTCATTTTGACCATCCCACTTGCCACTGGGTGGCATAGGCCGCATCCCACATAGGGCCTTTTCCCTGCCCTTTCGCCCCAAGAGAGCCTCAACTGCAAACAACGGGTGTGGGTGGGGACTCTGCCACGCTCTAGGTCGCGCTGGTGGCCTCTTCCCAATGAGGTATCACTCCATAAAAACTTTTTTACTTGGTATTTTGACATGAATTTTTGCAAGAATGCTTATAAAAATGTAAAGAACGTGTTTGAAGAATTTTAGAATTTTTTAACATCGTTTGTTATCTTTTTTATTTTTGGAGTGTGAAAAATAGAGAAAATTTTAGAAAATAGAATATTATTCCAAAAGAGGAGCCGCTTGTTGCATTAGTTCCTAAAAAATGTGTATGAATTTTAGGATGCATAATGTCAATAGCTTTTGAGGAAAAACAAAAGAAACCAAAAAAATGTGCATTTTAACCTCTGGCCGTTGGGTGGCACCACCGTTTGCGCGTGGGTGGGGCCTCACTCACGGCCTTGAGCGCGCGGGTGGCCACGACCGCCCCCTTGGTGATTCTGGGGACCTTAACTCGACAAGGTATTACCCCCTAAAAATCTTTTACCAAGTATTATTAAGAGATTTTATTGAGGGATGCTTAGAAAAATGAAAATATCATTTATGCACAATTTCAAATTTTTTTATATCATTTGCTATTTTTTTTTTATATTTTTTGAAGGTGAAAATTAGAGAAAATCTTAGAAAATAGAATATTAATCCAAAAAAAAGTGCCGCTACTTGCACCACCTAAAATGGAAAAATTCAGAAATGCACAACCTCAAAACTCAAATTAGAGGCTCTGATACCAATTGTTGAAACTAAAATAATGAATCAATTGAGAATTGAAGCGTGTACAAATGGGCTACCGCGTGGAAGTCTGTCGAAACGTCGCCGAAAAACGTCCATGGCCAGCTGGAATCATTGAGAACCTGCAAAACAAAAGGAAGTAAAGGGCAAGAGGAGCTCTTGAGCTCCACCCTATCTCTCCCTCTCTGTCCCTTTCATGTTTGCGGCACACACCCACATAAGCACAAGCACACTTTTTTATAAAACAAATAAGGGTGCTGCCTATATAAACCAAATAGGTTTAAGGGCTTTAACCAATATTCATTCAGAGAGAATATTTGGTCTAATGAACTGGTTAAATATTATGGGATAGAAAAAATTTATATGCTTTAAGCGAATCAATAAAATAATTTTTCATCATATTTTATTATTTCACATTAAAACAATTATCTATAAAATACTTTAATTTATTACAAAATGACTTATTATGATCACGAAAATTCACGTAAAAATGTTCCAACACCCCACTCAAGCGCGCCCCCAAACGAAAACCAACCATACGCAAAAAAACGTTTTTGCATTACTCTGTCTTGACTTCAACAATCCCAAATTCTTTACTTACCGCCGTCTCTTTTCTCTCGATCCGCGCTTTTTTGTCTCCTCCCCATACGCACTTCTCTCTCCCTCTCGCTCCAATCTTGAAGCCGTTGATTCGTCTATTTTCTTGCTGATCATCATTTCTTACAAATTTTCTCGCGATTTGCGATCGTTCGGAAGATCTTTTCATGGCTGTCTGTAAACGCCTGGCTCAGTTTGGGGCTAATTCGATTCGAGGGTTTTCTTACGGTTCTCTTGGTGCTTTTGAGATTAGCTGTAGAAGGATTTCGGAGTTCGCTAAACCTAATGGAAACCGTGCATTTCTCGTTGACACATTAGCTCTGGTAATCGATTAACTTTTGCTTTTTCCGAGATTTTGGCTTTGCGAAATTTGATTGGACTTTGTTGAGAAAATATATTTGTCTTCCAATGTTTGGTTTGCACGAAAATTTGTTGTGTAATTCTAGGTTAGGAGTTTGGAGGCACAAGGCGTGCCCTCGAAACAAGCCGAGGCGATTACTGCTGCCATCATTAAGGTTTTGAATGATAGTTTGGAGAATGTGGCCCATTCTTTTGTTTCCAAAGCAGAAATGCAGAAGGTCAGCTTCAAATTTGGTCAAATTAAAAGAAAATAGAATAATTTGTTTCAGTTTCACTTTGTTTTAATAATAAAGTTTCAAGTTTTGCACTTTTCATGGTAATTAGGATTGGGACGATGTTCGGTTTGTTGAGTATATCATGGGATAGTTGGTATCTAATCTCTCTCTCTCTGATTTTTTTATTTCTTGTAGTCAGAGATGCTTCAAGAATCAAATTTGTCCAAGTTTAAATCTGAAGTACAAGGTTCCCAGGTAGTAATTGTGATACCTACGTTTTTCTTGTTTTAAATGTAAATAATAATTATTGGAAAATAGTTTGTGATACCTACGTTTTTCTTGTTTTAAATGTAAATAATAATTATTGGAAAATAGTCATTTTCTTTGTTTGAGATTGGTAGGGACAGTTGATATAAAACACTAGGTGTACTTGTGCAAATTTCCTAGAGTTTAGATGAATGGATTCTGGAGTCCTTAACAAAATGGAGTACCGAGTATGGCTTTCTTAGTTTGAGATTGGTAGGGACAGTTGATATAAAACACTAGGTGTACTTGTGCAAATTTCCTAGAGTTTAGATGAATGGATTCTGGAGTCCTTAACAAAATGGAGTACCGAGTATGGCTTTCTTAGTGATAGGTTTGTCTTTTTTGTTGGTTTTTGTTTTCTTTTTTTTTTGTTTGTTTTTTTATTTTTTATTTTTTGAAGGGATCACTAAGAACGAGGAAAAGCTTTATAATTCAATTTTTTGAAGCTGGACTCATATGAGTTTTCGGGTTGCTAAGAAGCTGGCTTTCTCTTTGCAATTTTATCTTGTAAATTGGAATGATACGTTGAACAAGAACTGGCATTATATCCATCCGTCATTTTCAATGGATAGGAGGAAGAAATGCTTGTTAGGGCTCTTGTGGTGGCTATAGATGATAGTTGTTGAAGCATCCTACATATAAAGAATATACATATTGGGAGATAAGTTCTGCATCATCCTTTGATAGTTATCAGTCTCCGGTTTTTCTAAAAGTATGGTGTAATTTGAAGTATATATGTTGTCTTTAATTAGTTTTAATAGTCTATTATTGTTTGTGGTTAAGTCTTTAACATTCAAATTAGGAAGTAAATTGTTACAGTTTCTTTGTGGGAGGTTGGAATATCATATTTATGATTCTTCAATGAGTTTATTACGTCATAACCATTTTTAAGCCTCATTTGCCCCATGAATTCTTGCATTTCCTTAAAATTGACACATCAGACCAACAAAGATGTTTTATTGGTCTTTTTTGTCAATCACAAGGGAAACTTTTTTAAGCCTCGACTCTTGTTCTTAATTTTCCTCGTGGTACAGAGAGATGCAGGCAGCAAAAACAAGGCTTTGAAGTTTAGATTGGTCTGAAAAGAAGCTCTGATGCCAAGTGATAGTCATAGTGCAATGGATCTAGCTCAAATTATATCACGTTTTCCTTCTAGTAAATTAACTATCCAGTTTTTCAGGAATTAAATGGCAGAATTCCTCGGGAAGCAGTAGATTTCAGGACTGTTTAGGTTATTTATGAGTAGTCTATCATTTGTGCTTGAGGTTCTTTCAATAGTGCAATTGCTTAACACCAATTGGTTATACAGTATCTTTCTCCTAACAGAGTCCAACTGGTTTAATTTTGAGAAATTAAACTGCTGGAAGTCCTTGTGAAACAATTGATTTTAGGATATCAGGTGTTTTAATGGACTGTCGTTTGTGCTTCACATATTCAGCGCAATTTTGCTTACAAAAGTTGGTCAAATCTTTCTTCTAATAGGATGAAACCGGCAAATTTTTCTGGAATCAAACTGCCGGAATTCCAGGGAAGCAATTTCTTTTAGGATTTTTAGTTTGTTTTTTGTTTTGTTTTGTTTGTTTTGGTTTTAATCTATTTATTGTGTTTCTTAATTTACTTGGAGGGAAGGGAGAAATGAGGGAAAGATATAATTCTTATGTTGGTCATTCGTGTCATTTCATACAATTGTTTCAACTTTTAAGCTCGACCCCTGGTATGTGACTCGTCTTACACTGCTTGCTATTCAGCCTCTCTGTGGAAACGACCAAAAAAGAAGCTGCTTGAAGGAAAATTTATACTTTTAGAATCAAAGTATTTTTTTTTTTTTTTTTTTTTTTTTTTTTGGGGGTTTTTTTTTTTTTATTTTTTTTTTTTTTTTTTCCTTAGGTAGTTCTTATATATTAGAAGTTGCTCACTTACTGATTCTTTTAACAAACTCTCAAGTAGGAGCATCATTTTTCTATGTTGCAACGCGAGACTGAGAAGCTTCGTGGTGATATAGAGAAGATGCGGAGTGAACTGCGGTACGTCTTAAAAATTGGCATCCACATCCAACTCTTCTTTGCTGATCTTATTAAATAAGTTTGGTTACTCAAACAGGTACGAGATTGACAAGGTCACTGCAGGGCAACGTTTAGACTTGAATCTTGAAAGAGGGTCAGGAAATTCATGACTCATAACTCTTTGTTCACTCTAGGTATTGTTATCGTTATCCGCTAATATTAGTGGGGCCCATATGCAGGCGCATACGTGATGAGCTGGCAAATCAGAATGCAGAAACAACGAACCTCACAAACAAACTTGATCGAGTACGTGCACTGATTCTATGTGGTTTAATTACCATTGTTATGGTGTTAAATGTTTTTTTGTTCTAAATATGCCTTTTTTATTGTGTTTATAGGAGATTCACGCATTAAGAGCTCAATTGGAAGCTGCAAAATATGATGTGATCAAATATTGCATTGGTACCCTTGTCTCCATATCTGCAGTTGGTCTTGCAGTTATTCGCATCTTGATGTAGTCCATAACTTCTTTTCCTAATCACAATTGTACTAGACAAATGTAGAAAGAAATATTAGATGTCATTCTTTCGAAGGCGATTTTAATGCCAGAAAAATTTCAAATTTGTGCAGTTGTTGGCTCAAAGAGTACATCTATATTGCTTGGAACAAGTCATTTTGTTCCCCTCCGAGATTCATGCAACTACTGTTGCATATTTTTTAGTACTTTGCATATTTTAGAGGCAAAGCAGAAGATACATTGATAAATGAATATGCTACGTTGAGGGCACTCTGATTTACGTTTACATGTTTTCTCGCCTTTATAATCTTGGCTTGTTTATCATAATTAATTCTTAAGGAAATTTGAGATTTGCTCCTAGTGACAATTTTTATTGCAGAACACCCCGAGGGACCCGATCTAACTTTATTCTGTGTGATAAAGAAAAATGTAAATTATCCTCAATTTAAGAGGTTCCTTGATTATTCAAACTGATTATTCCGAGTGGTTGTTTACTGTTTCAGATTTTCATTCGCAGTTAACAGGAAGGAACATGACTGGTTTCCCTACTTACCGCATTCCTAGGTAGCCGATTGTATGAATAAGTATGTATTCTTTTTCCCTTGTTATTTCACTTCTGGATTTTGTCTAAAAGGTTTCAGAGGTTTCAACCAAGGGATATTTTGGATTTAGGATGAATTCCAGAAACTCCCCTTGAATTATACTCCGTATAATACTTTGCTTTTTAATCTTTGAAACGTAGCAACTATTTCCGCTGAACAATGAAATCTTAACAAAAATACTGTAACGACTCCTCACGGATCGTCACAGTTATCTTAACTTTTAAATATTTACCTCTTTAAGAATGCAGGAAAATAGTTAAGCTTGAAACACTTAACTTTGAATGACTTTAAGAATGCAGGAAAATAGTTAAGCTTGAAACACTTAACTTTGAATGACTTAAAGAAAAGCCTAGATTTTTTTTTAAAACATATTATCTTTAAAATTTTTGAACTTCCTCAAAAAAAAAAAAAAAAAAAAAAAACCTTTCGGTTTAATTTAATTATTAAAATCTATACCGTGAAATAAACTTAAAAAAAAGAAGTCTAAAATATTCTTTAAATCAAAACCACCATAAACTAAAGTTTCAAAACAATAAAAATGAAAACTAAAAAAACTTTGTTTAACATTAAACACTTTCATCCCATAATCGTTTCTCCCGTTTTCTTATCACGCATAGCTCGCATCCGCTCTAATATTCTCCATGGCTACATCTTACCCTTTCGATTGTCTGCAACATGAAATAACTTATATAAGTAAGGGCTTAAGAAGACACTTAATTCTCACAAATGTAAATAAATATTTTTATTCATCAACAATAAACGTCATCATGAGAATAATTATTTTTTAACATATTTTAACTTTAAAATCCATCATATATTAGGCCCGAAATTGTACCATAATAGTGCGCTAGCCACGGAAAGCATGGGGTAGCAAATCTCATACTAACCATGGCAGTAAGACCGCTCACCGGTCACCATCAAGGGTGTACAATGCCATTTAAAAACATAAAAATATATATATATATATATATATTTTCTTCAAAACGTCATCATATGAAATATTAAAGGTGTCATAACATCATCATAAAATCAAAATCATATATTTCTCAATTTTTCAATTCATGTTGCAGGTGAGAGTGTACTTACTTGAGCGCCTTACTTAACCTTTTTAAATTTCGCAATGGTGACGCGACGAATAAGGTCATCGGGTGCTCGCCTCTGGAACCATTCATGCCATAAATCATAAATAAGATTACTAAAAAGCCTTAACAACTCATCAAATACATTGATCACGTTAAAACAACGTTTAATATACCATTCTCACCATTTATTAATATCAAGACATAAAAAAAAAACCCACTAATTACACAATCACAAAACATAACAAAAACTGGAAGCCTGACCTTTACTCCTTTAAAAACTCATAACAATTCACATAGAACTCCAAATGACCTAAAACTAATTTTAAATTAAAGTAGACATCTAGAGCTTTCTAACGGTATCTAATTTAATAAAAACGGAGTTCCTTTGGTCCCTGAAATATTGTTTTAAAATCAGACATGAAACCTGGAGAAATTCCAACACTCAAACTAGGACGAAAATTCACTAAAAATTCTATTAAATACAAAACCATCATCCTGAACATGTATAAACAGCAATCCATTTATTATTCAACCTTATAAAATGTTTCTAATACTTAAAAATTATATATATAAATACGTGCATATATATACATCTTATACCTACAAAATGCCGATCAAATGAATCACATGACCCAATTACCAAAATCACCAACCCATATAGCATGCTTTCTAGGAAGATACAAAACAAAACAATCAAATAATAACTATGACTAACATAGAGTCTAATAGAAACCTACACTCAAAATCATAGTATCAAATTAAAAACCGAATAGCCTTGAATCATAGAACTCATATTGATGGTATAGCCTCACTCATCATCATCTCATAAATACGTGTTGGTTTCTCAAACCGGATTTTCAAAAAAACTTGTGCGGAAGCGTGGTATCGATTGAATCACATAAATTAAAATTTAATGCGATCATTATTTCATGTTAATTTAACTACAAAGATATTAAAGAGAAGAAGGACAATTTACCGTCGTTCGATTAGGACGTAAATCTTGAACTCCTCCAACACCGACTTGAGCTCTTAAATTCCAAGAACACCACGGTTCTTTATCAACATATCTCCGGATTAACGTGAACTCGAACGTGTGGGTGTTCTAATGGGTTTCTCAACACACGAGACGGATGAATAGGGAAGCCACCTATGGTTATTACTCACTTTTCTCAAAAGTATGTGATAGCACTCAAGATATTTTTTTTGGTTTTTCTTTTTGTTCTCCCGTTTCTCACTTTTCTTTTCCTCTAGAAAAATTCTCTTTTCTTTTTCTTTTTGTCTGTCTTTAAAACTACTGAGGACTCATCACTTTTTGAGTAAATGTGCAGCCACACATTTACTCCACTTTTCCTCATACTGAGGAAACGTGCAACAACACGTTTCCTCCCACTCCCCTTATTATTAATTTAATTTTTTTTGAGTGAGGAAACGTGCGCTGCTACACGTTTCCTTTCTTATATATATATATATATATATATATTAACGAGGGAGAATAAAAAAAAACGTGGGGAAAAAGAAAAATTCTCTCTTGTTATAAAAATGACTAAATTCATCCATATTAATTTAAAATAATTTAAAATTAATTTTAATATTAATCAAATTAATTAATATATGTGTATTTAGAATTCTCAATTCTAAATTAATAATCATAACCCAATATGATATATTCAATTCACATTAATCTTATGGAGCCGTCGAGAGAAACTATAGACATTATAATTTTAAGCTCCAATAATTTTGACAATTAATTAACACCTTAATTAATATATCAAAATTATTAATTCTAAATTACTCCATTATAAATTTAGAATTGCACTCTTAAAATAATAAAAACAATTATGTTCAAAGGATTAGTGCACCGTTCAAAGCAGCATAATAACATTCCTTTGGAAACCAAAAAGAAGAATTTATTTGAGTGCGAAATGAGAGATATTTTGTTCCCCCACAAAGAATTATTTGATTTTTGCATTTCAACCAATATACATGATATATCAGAACACTTATTTCTAGGATTTAATGATTCTTAAGAGCGGATTCATCCTTTTTTTTTCTATTTGTGTTGCAGTCATTTGATTTGGTAATAGTACTAAAGATAATAACGAATCGAAAAAATAAATAAAAAAATGACCGGCTTGGATCGTCATTACATATAAATTAATCAGCCATAAACGGTTCATAATTAAAGCTATGTATTTTTTGTTGATCTCTTTAATTATATCTTTCTCCATAGGTAGTATTGATCATCTAATGAATAATATATTTTATGATCTAATCATAAAATTGAATGCTCTTATTATTCAATCCCTGAATCAACACTTATGGGAACCGTCCATCTACTTCATTATGAAGGAATATATTTCATCTTGTAAATTAATATTCCTTGCTATTTATTTTACTATGCTCCCAATATACCAAGACTTTGACACTATTCACATGTGTCATTACTCAATATGTCAAATAACATAATATCATAAATAGGAGTTTATTAATTACTCAGTATTAAGATTAATTCATATATGACCATCATTGATTAATATTAAATACTCTATTTAATAATAGAATTTATTAGAGATCCATAATTAATCGCGTTCTAGTCCTATGAAATCATATTACATAAAATGCTTTCATTCCAATAATCTCATTATTAACAATCTAGGATAAGATTATTTCATTCAGAATGTAATGAACCGCATTACTAATTTTAAATTAAAGATCCAAACTTTAATTTATAATTACGGACAAGTTTAGATTATTTTATTTCAAATATTATCCTCTGCATATAACACTTATATACAATGTTTAAAGTTACATCTAAAATAATCTAGGGATTTTGATATTTATAAAACATCACATGCATGCAAAATAATATTGAAAAAATTCCTCATCTCATTGATAATCAGCAAAATGTTTACATCTTATTTGATTTATGGGCATATATCGCAACAATCTCCCACTTGCCCTAAAGCAAATGAGGCATGTCTCTAAGTCCCATACTTTCAAGATGTCTCTCAAAACTCCCAGCTGGTAATGTTTTGGTAAACGGATCAGCTATGTTGTTCGTGGATGCGATCTTTTCAACTGAAACGTCTCCTCTGGAAACAATCTCTCTGACCAGGTGGAATTTCCGCTCTATATGCTTTCCTTTGTGGTGGTTCCTGAGCTCCTTGGCATTGGCCACTGCTCCACTGTTATCACAATAGAGTCTAATAGGCTCATGGATATTTGGAACAACTTCCAATTCCTTCAGAAATTCACGAAGCCAGAAAGCTTCCTTAGCTGCTTCACAAGCTGCTCCATACTCAGCCTCCATGGTTGAGTCAGCAATACAAGATTGCTTGATACTCCTCCATATGATGGCTCCATTTCCTAAAGTGAACACTGCCCCCGAGGTGGACTTGCAAGAGTCCCTATCTGACTAAAAATCAGAATCAGTATATCCAATAGGAATTAAATCCCTACCAGAGTATACAAGCATATGGTTTCTCGTCCTCCTTAAATATTTGAGTATGTGTTTGACTGCAACCCAATGATCTAATCTTGGGTTTGACTGGTATCTTCTAACCATCCCTACTACATAGCATATGTCAGGTCTAATACATAGCATTGCGTACATCAAGCTACCAACTGTCGATGCATAGGGAACTCGTCTCATATCTTCTTCCTCTTGAGGTGTCTTTGGACACTGCTCTTTGGAGAGATAAACTCAA